GCGATGCCGTTCTAGGAGCCCCAGAAGTCTATCTATGCATATCCAGAGCGCGCAGAAGCCAGACGAGCGTTCTTGGAGCAAAATCCAGGCAGCTCGAGCGCGGGTTCAAAAACGGATGCTGGACCACACGGAGCTCGTCCAGCTTTTGCAGAATCAAGGCATATATAATTGTGCAGAACGTGGACAGCTCTGGCGCCGGATGCCAACCTCACGAAGCTTGTCCAGCTTTTGCAGAATCAAGGCTTATACAAAATTGCAAAACCTGGACACCTCTAGTGCACTGGAACGAGCAAGCATCCCTGATCGTTCTCTAATAAGCTCAATGGCTGCAGTATGAAAAAGCTTTTCAACGAACTTACCCGTGGAAGCCGAAACAAAGCTTGCAATGCTAGCAGTGTCCACTCCGCTGCATGCCCTAGTGTTGGCCATAGGTGCTTCTGTGACAATGCAAACGGATTAGAAGTAAATGAAGCTTGGAAACATGACATCGTGTTAAGTACACTGAATCTTGGATGTGATTCGACCTTTCGAAAGGATCCGAGATGATCGTTTTTGTTGAAAGGCTCGGATTGCAATAGGGGCAGTATAGACTTGCGAGATCTACCATTCACGTTGCAGAAAGTAACCAGCAAGTGTTAGCCATCCGAAAATGACTAGACAAGTTGCAAACAATGTTCAATAGGCCTCAGTAACATCTAAGATCTGGTTGGAATCGTACCTGCAAAGTCCAAGTCGTTGGTTGTCACTCTGCACCTGGAGGGGGCCTCCTCCACAGGCAGAGCAATACCTTGTTGCACAAAGCACAGGACTGAGGGGTTTCCGAGCTTGCGGACGCGGCTCTTCATTTGGTCCAAACCTCTTGGCGTGGTGCTTCCCAAGCACATGTAGATGAAGGCTCGGGCAAACCAGGGTTTGTTGAAGTCCACCGCAGCCTCGACGGTAGGGCTCAGCATGACCAAGCGTCTAGTCCATTGCTCGTTCACCTGCTCGAGACCCTTCTTGACTGCACCGCACGAGTCTCGTGTGATCTTTAGGATCTCAGCCTCAGACAGTATCTTCTCCTCAAGGACGACTCTCTCTAGCAGATCGACCTCATTCGAAGACATCGAGTACACGATGCAGTTCTCTCCACTCCGTAGCGATTCGAGCAACGTATTCTGCCAGTACTCATGCCCTTCCTTCCCGTTGACGAACACAAACTCCAGGGGCCTCTCAGGGAGAAATCTATTGATGACTACAGGCCCGCACTTGATCTCGTTCATTGTGAGAAAGTCAAAGGTTCGTTGGCCTAGATGACCATCGAGCGCGATGACTTTCTTTGCTTGCCGCAGAATCTCCACCAGCAGATTGACAGTGGAATGCCTGTTTCGAAAGGTCGAAGCAGACAGGTGGGAGAGGATGGACTCGATCTCATCAAGAATGACCAGATCGAAAGGTGCAAGAAATCTTCCCGCAGCGATGAGGCCCGGCAAGCTGTCGAACTGGCAGATGACGTTGGGAAACTGTTCACGGTCGGCCAGAGCCTCCACAAAATGCCCCTGCTCGTTGAAGCGGCCCGGCATGCTCTTCAGATCGTTATAGTGGAAGTAGTCTGGGTTCTTTCCCTGGGCGTCGCTCGCTTGAGTTTGCCGGTATGTCACCATGAGCTTTGTTTTTGGCCTCGGCTCTTTGGAGGAGAGCTGCTTGACCATAGTGGATTTACCGGTGTCCATAGGGCTCCGGATGAGTAGAGCCGGGAAGTCTCCTGCTTGAAACCTGCAATAAGGTTTTGTCGTCAAGAGATTCTCGAAGAAGTCTGCTTTTAGAGCAAGAACTCGTCTAGGTTCTGGAGAACTCGATGCATGTATCAAAAACGCAAAAGCTAGACGGGGTGGCCCGAAGAGTTAGTAAAGGTGATTGCTTCTTGACGTCATCGCATGGGCATATACAATATGAACAACAGCACTATAAATCACACGAAGGGACTACTTCGCGATTGAAACACACTTGGAAGCTCTGAAAAACCTAGGCAGTCAGGCTGGTTGGATGTTGAATCTGTCGCTCGCGTTGACATAAGAAAGTTGAGGCATCAGAGTCGCTGAGTATAAGTCGTCTGCCTCCAGCATACTCGATTTCAAACGGGACCGAGGCTTGCAAGGTGGAACTTTCAAAGAGAGACGCAAGGGAAAAATCTTTCACTTACTTGTTGACCTGCCTGTTGAAGACAACGTCGTCCGTCATTTGCCTGATTCCAGCTCGGATCAATTGCAGATCCATAGGACCAGCAACCAATGGGTCCCTGCCCAAATATCGCATATTGACCTCCACGGCTCCCGCTTTCCAACTTTTCGCGTCCGCATACAGAGGCCCTAAGTAGTGGGCAGGCTATTGTTTGCACGTCAGACCGGTCGCGGGGTCGACTCTCTCGCTCGAACACTTGGCAAAGACCGCGTTCTCTCGTTCGTTTACAATGCAGAGAATGTCGCGCTGTCCGGGATGCATGTGCCCTGTATAGCATGGCTCACCATCCCGATCCGTCCAGCTGAAGTTGAGCTGGTTGCTTGAGCCTCGCTTGAAAGCGGTCGGGTGCAGACCTTGCAGAAGCTCGAGACAGCGCTGGGTGTTGTATGCGTTGGCAGAGTGTGGGCTGAGGTGTGCCATGTCCGCTGACTTCTTGAGAGGTCTACACTCCTTGACAGCGTCGGGCGCAATAGTTGGAACCCGGATGAAGTCAACCTCCTGCAAAGCGGCATACAACATCAGAATCTAGACAATGGTTTCTCTGGCTGGAATCGCTCTGTGACCACGTGGCTCGTCCAGCTTTTGCATAATCAAGGCTTATACAAAAGTGCGGAACCTGGACAGCTCTGGCGCCGGATGCCAGTGCGGAACCTGGACAGCTCTGGCGCCGGATGCCAACCTCGCGTGGCTCGTCCAGCTTTTGCAGAATCAAGGCATATACAAAAGTGCGAAACATGGACAGCTCTGGCGCCGGATGCCAACCTCGCGTGGCTCGTCCAGCTTTTGCAGAATCAAGGCATATACAAAAGTGCGGAACCTGGACAGTACCTGCAAACGACAAAGCAGCCAGTCATGCGTATCAAGTTGTTCGTCAATGTACTTGAATGAAAACTCTTGATCATCTTACCTGGTCCAGCCAAGTGATGACTGCGTCCGCAAACGGCTTGCGCGGGTCCAGAGGCAGCAACGGGCACAGAGGGGCGGACAGGAGGGTTTGGAACACCCAGGCAATCTGATGCCCCGATTCCGGGTGTACACACCCTGGTCAATCAGCTCCGCTAAGTGTGGCGAGAGAACTTCAGCGAGCCTGCGTGCGAGCTGTCCTGCCCCTTGCGGATCCGCTGTGTGTGCGAGATTGGAGCGGAAGACCAGCTGCGGGGTGTGCGTAGAAATGATGAGATGCAGGCTGAACTTGCCGCCCGGGCCGTAGTCGCAGGGAACCCAGTTGAAGGCCGCCTCGTCAAGCTTCACGCCATAGTCCTCTATGAAGATCCGCATGATTGCGTCCTGGAACTGTGTAATGACGCTCTCAAGAGTCTCCCCCTCCGGCAGGCCGCCATCTCTCTCCATGTCCAGGTACGGTTTGCACGGCCTCCCCTCTACCAAAACCTCCTCTCCATGAGGCTGCCCCTGGAAATGTTCCATCGCCGTGGGCCAGTCTGGGTAAGAGCCGTACCTCCTATACCCTTTGTTCTCGGACAGGTGACGGATCTCAACCTTGTGGTCCAGCAGAGCAGCAAAGCGCTTGCTGAATCCCTGAGGCCCGTTCTTAGAGTCTTTGCAGCTGAGCCCAGACATGCTAGACATCTTTGAGAAGAAAGAGGTGCCCAGCATCATCTGGCGGACGGTCTGAACGGTGCCGTTCTCAACGGTCTCACTATGGACAATCGTGCTGTTGGGAGGGAGAGGTCGAATAGGTTGCTCGCTGCTGGGGACACTTGAGGTGGGGTTCTCGTGATTGGAAGGATTCGCAGGGGCAGCTGCCGTCTCGTCGGGCAGCAACATGGAAGGCTACATCAAGAAAGAGAAGCACACAAACTTTAGATATGTGCCAGTGAATCGACGTCACGAATGATATTTAGATATCTTTGCACCGAATCGGTTTCAGACTCACGAGATGCAAGCTCGATATCTCCTGGCATCTGCTTTCTTCCGACATACATTGATAAGCGGCAAGATAGGCAAAGCGTCACACTTGATCATTGGTGAAATGCTTTGGCTTGCTGCACGGAAAGATGCTGGCCAGCTTGGAACAATAAACCAGCATGAGAAACTGACTGAGTAAGGACCTGACTCTGTCACAGTCAGTACGTTTGATAAGAGTTTTCTCAAGCTGTTTCGTCTGAACTCTCAGAGAGTAGAACTCGGCGCATCCTCCGTTGTTTACGAAGGACAGTCAGAGAAGTCGGCATTTTTTGCGTCGCTGGTGCTGAGCCTACCTCTGCATCAAGATCAGCAACTTTCCGTAGGGTTCCCTCAGTTTTGCGCGCTGCTTTCCTTTGTGCAAACTCTGCACTGTCGCTGCCCTTGTCATCGTTGCGGGTTCTCTTCCTTCTTCTGACGCAAAAGTTCCTCTGGCCTTCAAGCGATTCGGCCGCGTCAATCTGCACAAGTCGACAAGTGGATCAAAATCTGCGTGGTTAACACTAGGACCGATAGATAACCGTGCCCGATTGGGCACGGATAATATAAATTTGTAAGCATTGGATAGAGGCCTTATTTTGCAAAGTATCTTTCTATACTAGATAGCCCTTTTCATCCCGGTCACAACGCTTCTTTCGGATCCGCAATCCGATAACTTTTGATGTATATGTCATCGATGATGTGCCGGTAGAAACTGAGAACTGCGAAATAAGCTTCACGGGCAAATTATTATCCGTGCCCAATCGGGCACGGTTAACTTTGTGAAGCGGTCGTGACGTCACCTTTGAGAATTTTATAAAGATACTTTGTAGACATGTTGGGACGGACCTAATCTTGTTTGCATACTAGTTATATGGCTAGCTAACGACTGATCTCATCATCTACAATAGGTGTGCACACGCCTACCGCGAAAAGTGGCTGTTTTTGAGCTAATTGCATGGATTCTATTACTTCCATACAACATTGCACCTCGTTTGAACATTGAAGCAATTCAGATTAGATTTATATATGTCTTGGCTGCACGATTGTAAAGTTTCAATGAATAAACCTCATATTTGCACCAACTTTCACACACTCATATAAGGATTGCCCATATACAGCTTTTTCCCTGTCATACTGGGGGCATGTATGAAACCATGATCAATTGGACTTCTTTTCGAGCCAGACTGGTAAGACTTGAGACTCACAACATTTGCAACAATCCAACACACAATTTCAAAGCGGAAACCAGTCTGGACAGAGTTTTCAGAATAGATACGTCGAATAAAACACGTCTAATAATCTACTTAGGAATCCTCTTTCTCTTTGCCCCAAAGTCCCTTCCTTCCAATCTCTCCGTGTTATGCCACTCTTTGAAACAGTCCCCAAAGCACAAGGGGACATTGCAAGCATAGCAGTAGTATCGAGTACGGCTACCCTCCTTTTCTACTCCCATGTTCTTCAGCGCACACAGCCTGCACCGCCTGCGCTTGTTCCCCTCCGTCTTCTCGCAGAAGTGCTGGCTGCTGTTGCTGGCTCCTCCTCCAGACCTGGACAGTACACAAGAGCAATAAGATATACTGTATGGTACACGAAGCATCCTAAGCGGCAGGCTTGCAACTCAAACTCAAACCCAAATTCAAACCAGCCACTCACCAGACTGTCCAGACCAAAGAAGCAACTAACAAGAATGTCCAAACCAAAGCCAGCAACAGGTTGACCACAACCAGGTAGAATCAATCAAGCAACTAACCAACCCCAAATCAGCAACTAACCAGCCCCAAACCCGCAACTAACCAGCCCCAAACCAGCCACAAACCAGCTCCAAACCAGATTACAGAATTGCTCGCAGCCACTTGCATCAGGTGCCACACTTACCCCCTGCCAGACAGCCGATTGTCTTGTGTGTTCTCCACCAACTGCTGTTGCAGAGTGAGCATGAACTCAAACCTGCTGACCTCCGGGTGCTCCTCTTTGAACAGAATGTAGGCATTGCTGAAAGCACTGTCCAGCAACCCAAGAAAGACCCGGATCCACCACTTCCTCGAAACCACCTCCATCTCAGCGCTATAGTGCTGACTCAAACACGCCTTGTCAAACTGATCTACCCCATCCTTATACTTATTGTAGACGTACGCAGCCTCAGGACACGGAATCTGATCCACTGCAGCGCCAAGTCGGCGATCAGTTTCTCCCATCAACAAACAATGCGACGTGCTGACAAAAAAGACTGGCTGTCTATCCTTCCAAGCAAACGCCACCATGCCCTGCTCCCTCTCCACTGCAGCCACCACCGTTCCCCTCTCCGCCTCCTTATCCAGCTTCAGCATGTGAGCTGGAAACTGCTTTCTGTTTGTAACACACGTCCCTGTCCCACTGAAACCCTTAGCTTTGAGCGACTGCAAGACAACTGGCGCTGTAAAACCCCTGTCCAAAATGCAGACATGCCCTAGATCTCGAGGCAAAGTGTCAGCCAGGATGTCTACCATCTTTGCATGCAGGTCCTGGCACTTGATTTTATCGTAAACATGCTGGTGCCAACAATAGAAAGTTACAGCGTCTACAGCGGCAAAAACCTCAACCCCAAACTTATGGGGTTTCTTAGGGTTATAAACTCTAACGGGGCAGGCTCTATTCCTAATGGGGATGGTGCGCTCATCAAAAGTGACATACTGACCAAGCCTGTAAAACTTCTTGAAAGTATCATTGATAGTGTCTAGGAGGGGAAGCAACTGCCACAGGCGGTACTTTCTAGTGCTCCTATCAGCTGGTCGCTGCGAGTTGTCATTCAGATGCAAGTAACGCTTTATCTGCTCAAACCGATTCTGAGACATGCCCGTACGACTGGTATCAGGAAAGGTGACGTTGCCAATTCTGCCACTGCGCCAGTAATCAGACAGCTGAGGCGGGGGATGCAAGGCCATGGACAAGACAATACCAACCCACTTCAAAAGCTCCTGCAACGTCACAGGAGTCCAACCCCGTTGCTTCCCTTTCTCTGTTGGGCCTGCATCCCCCCTGCTGACCTCTGCGTACAAGTTCGTCTGCTCGACTGTCCCTTCCCAAAACCTTTCCAGCGGAATCAGCAGCAGAAAGATCTGAAAGGGATTGAGCAGGGACAGGCTGCCGATGACTCCCCTCACAACCCTGGACCGGCCACCCTTCCACTCCGGGGGCTGGATGAAGGCGCAGTCATCCCCCTCCTCCACAGCTTCCCACTGCAGCGCCGCAGACGAGGAGGGAGCAGCCGCCTCCCCCGCTGTCTCCAAAGGGTCCCCCTCGTCTTCCAGCTGCTCGTCATCGGAGAACTCCTCTTCCCCACTTGACGCTCCATCCAGCAGCTGGCGGGGGACTCTCTTCCTCGCCTTGGCCTTGGCAGCCCTCTTCTTCATGGGCTCCCGTTCCACTGGCACTTTTTCTTTCCCCTTCCGAGAAACAGGGGCTGACTGCCGGGCTTCTTCCTCACTCTCCGTCTCTTCCTCACTCTCCGGTTTGTCCCCCTCGTCGGACTGCTCCTCTTCGTCGTCCTCTTCTTCCTCGTCAGACTCCACCAGCCGAGCTGGCGGCCGAACTGCTCTCCTCACACGAGGAGCATCCTCAACTGCATCCCCGCCAGTTCCCCTTCTTTTGCTCTGGGGTGTCCTGAGATCTTGCTCAGGGTCAGCCCTCGCCTCGGCAGCCCCCCCGGCAGCCCCCCCAGCAGCGTCCTCTTCATCCCCCACCAGCAATCGACGGGGTGCCCCATGCCCCACAAGCACCTCTAGCGTCCACCAGTAGACGCTGCCATCAAAGTCAAACTTGACCTGCCACCTTGCAGGTGTTTTTCCCCTTCCAGGCTTGTGAACCTCGATGTGGCCCACAAGGGTTTCCGTCTCCCACTTGTCCCCAAAGTTTTCCTTTGCCCAAGCTTTCCCAAAAAAGGACGCTTTCACATTGACCATGAGGCCAATGGAAGGATGCAGACCTGCAGCCCCTGTGGATACGGAAGCCATGGCGCCAGTGAAGGAGGAGAAGTCAAAGGTCAACCTGTCCCCGCTCAAAATCCCAACCAGACAGCACCTGCAGCTTGACCAAGTTTCTCAATCCCGCTCAAATCTAGGATTTTGAATTCCATAGGCTGAATCTGCGTTGTGCACACTGATGTGCACTCTGGGTTCTGTGCTTGTTGGACAGGACCACAATGTCCGGTAAAAATCAAGCCCATCTGGGGGTCAGCTGATCCAAAGTGACCAATCAGCAGTCAGGTAGGGACCATGTGGCACCTACTCAGGATAACTGATGATTGGACACCAAGATCTGGGGCCAGAATGTGCGCGCTTTGCTCGCGCTCAATTAACCGTGCCCAATTGGGCACGCCGTGCCC